GGGGGGGTTGGGGGGGGGAGGCTCATGCAGAGCCCCCCCGATGCAGCATGGGATAGTGGGGGGGCAGCAGGGATCGCCGCCCCACCTGGTGAGCACCGGGGTTTTTTTTAAAGGGCCAGGAGCTGGGGTGAATGGGGGCTGCCATGGGAAGGGGATGGAGGGAGCACTAGGGGAGCAGAGGGTGGGGCTGGCAGGAGTCCAGCCATGGTCTGGTCCCCTCCCCTAGTACTTACCAGCTCGGAGTCAGCTGTGGCTCCCTGCTGCAGCCACTGGGGACTGCCCAAATCATCAAAGCGCTCTGAATCTTTTCTGAAGATTTGAAGAGCTTTGAATAGATTTGGACCTTTTAATTGGTCCCCTCATTTGATTTGGCTTCAGAGATTCATCCACCGTATTGGGCCAAATCTCCTCTGAATCGAATCACTACCTGAAGCTTCGCACAGCCCTAATATGAACTGTTATCCTGTGGATAACTTGTGGTTAGTGCCTAAGTGTACTTTGTCAAAAGAATATCTAAAGCAGAACAGAGAGCTAACAGCTAATGGCTGTTTCCCTTGCTTAGCTGGTACTAAGTTTCAAGCAGAAACTTTGGAGTTCTCTGTTCATGATTTGGAAATAAAAACCTAAATGTTTTTCCAGTATGAGAAACGTGATTGGGTCATAAGTTATATGTAGTAATTGGGGGGGGTTATCTGGGGGTGGGGAAGGGGAGAGACGTCTCCACTGAAATCATTTGGGCACACTAGGCTCCAGCATCTACCAATAACTTGCAGACTCAGTCAGGAGTATTTTGTAAGCAGCCAAGACTTGTCAAAAGCGTGGATGCCTAAAATTAGTCTCCAATTAAGTAGCTCAGCTGTTCCTTCTTCTGAAATCCTCGAAATCCAGTGGCTGAATTTTAGGAGCCTACGTCTTTAGTTTATTTTAAAGCCCACTCTATATTTATAATGTCCAGCTTGGATATTAAAATATTTCACATAGAGCAATTTAACTCATCACCTTTAGTTTCTTGGGTAAACTTTTGCAACTTGATAGAAATGTCTCGACTTAACCATACATGTGTTGGGTTCCTGCATCAGATCCCAGTGCACGTTTACTTTAATATCTGTTAGGAGCCTTAAAAACTGACTAAAGTGGAGATGAACAAGCGCTTCTAAGCCAGAGCTCCCTTCATCAGATGCTATGAAAGAACACACACAACAGAGCAGGCTATCAGGCTGTGCATGTCTTTTCATAGCATCTGATGAACTGATCTCTGGCTCATGAAAGCTTATGCTTCTCTGATCTAGTAAGTCTGTAACAGTGATTCTCAACCAGGGTACTATGGGGTATCTTGAGATCCTTTCAGGGGTGCAGTGGGGTGCCATGCTATGTTAGCACTGTTCACCATGCAAATATGGTTCACAGCACAAACCCTGAGATTTCAAATTTGAATCCATGGTGTTAAAACCTTTCCAACCTGTTGTGGTCTTTCTGAGTTCTTTGCAAAAGAAAAATTGTTCTATTATTTTTCTGTAGTCAAAAAAAAAAATGAGGGAAAGCTAAGAATTTGTATTGTCTGATGGGTGAATCTAACTGGGGTGCCTCGAGTCTAAAAAAGGTTGAGAACCACCGTTTTATAAGGTGCATCTCTATCCTGACTTCAGTAAACTACCTTTCTCAGAAAATGACAAATTCAGGGATGTCTGAAGTATGCTGATCTGGAGCCATTTGGGTTGCTGAACCAAGGGATGAAAGCTGTGGAAACTTCTTGTGATCCTTTTGTTTGTAAGAGTATTGGAAACTTGAACTGCATGAAGCAAAGGTTACTGGTTTAGTGTTGTACTTCCTATCATTTCAGCACCATCAACAAAGCCTGGAAAGAAAGTTCCTATAGGTGCGGTTTCCCTCTTTCCAGGTATGACACATTTGATAGACAATTGCTTCATTTGTTAAATGTTTATCTCTAAAATAAATTGTGATGTCTTTGAGAAAAAATCTGTCAAAGTATAGCAGTGATGACTTGTTGGATGAGGTTTTGATTGTCTGGCATGTGAGCTATAAGCATACATTGGGTTCTAGGGGATTGCAGAATCCCCTGGGATCGTTCAAGAGGGTGTAAATGTGGGTGGGTCCAAGATTGTGACAATTGGGGTGCAGCCACACCTTTGAGAGTGTGGGACTTGTGTAGTGAAGATAGCTCATTGCTCATGTGCCCTACAAGGGGATGTGGCTGCAGTCCCTTCTGGTGATCCTGGATGCCAGCAAGCTCTCAACAGCTCCTGCTGGAGCTCTGTGCTCACTATAAGTTCCAAGCACACCAGCAGCATATAATTACTTATTCTTCAAGGTACCTGTTACATATTACATGTATTAGTTCAAGTACAGTATAGATAGCAGCATTCCTCTTCAGAATTTAATGAGATGCATTTAAAAACTTAGACTATTATTGTACTGCATCTGTTGTGCCCTTTCTTGATGCTAACAGGTCATCTTTGTTTGGAAGTGGATTTATTTCCCCTCCACCCCTTTCTTAAATCACAGCAGAGGTGGGGGGTGGGAAGGGAAAGGAAACCTTTCTTTTTTTTAATTTTTCTTAAGCAAGGGTGAGACAGGTCATTTGCTTTATATGTAGGGTGACTGTAAGGAAATCCAGGACACTGCCCCATCTCCTTACCCCTGAGTCAGCTGCTGCAGGCAGGGGTTCAGGCACACAGTGCTGCCTCCACCTCCCTGCTGGATTGCAGGCTGCCCCCCTGTAATTCTGGGACTTGTGTTTAAATTCTGACCAACTGACTGGGACGGTCCTACAAAATCCAGGACCATCCCAGCCAAACCAGGACGTAAGGTCACCCTATGTATATGAGAAATGGTCTCAGCTGTCATGCAGTATTTTAGTACTGTAATGAGTATGGTATATTTCACATTTTGACCTCAAGAGTAGCAACAAAAGCATAATTTATTAAACAACGTTGCACCAAAGGGTCTTGCCTGAAGGCACTACTGCCTCAAGGATGAGTTTGGCCCTTTATTAAGCTATGTGCCGTCTTGATTCATGAGGGCATAAGGCACACTTTGTTAGTAATGGAGCTGCTCAAACTATCTGTTGCATAATTTTTGGTGAATGTGGTCCTATACAAAAGTTGTGCACACCGGTTATGACTTCTGCCAACTTATTTGTTCAAAGTAACTGAATAAATAAGCTGTAAAGTAGCTGGTAGTGATTGTTCAGAAATATCTAATCAAGTTTTGTGGGGTCAGCTAAGCTACATTGGTACTCATGTTCTTTCTGATTGGATGACTTGACTTGACCTTCTTATACTAGGATTGTGTGTGCTTAAAAGGCATGCAGTCTGTGTCAGACCATACCTTCAAACCTGGTGCCTTGGCCTGACCAATGTGGCTGCTCATTCCAGCCTGCCTCGCTGTGATTGATCACCCAGGCTGATCCAGGCTTGTCTGAAGTCCCATCATGGCCTATTACTTCATCCACTCCCTCTCAGCAGACTCTCCATTTCCCCTATATAAGCCCCTGCGCAGAAACAGGAAGTATCCAGGTAACAGGGCTCAGCTTGACCTGAGACTGCTTTACTGCTCCCTATGGCTAGTTCCTTGACTCGGCTTCCTGTTTGATCTCCCAGCTTGCTTCTCGACTCCAATGTCTACTGGATTTCCCAGCTTCTTGACTCAGCTTGTTCGTAGATCCAGCTCTTGGACTGACCTCTTGGCTTCTTGGTTGGGTTTGTTCTCAGATTCTGTTCACTCATCCTGACCCTAGTCGGTGCCTTGATTCCCCAAGTTGGCTGCCCAAGTCCTGGTGTGACAGTTTGCTTGGCCCACCCCAGTTAGTGAAGAAGGCTCAGCATGGCACCCAGTCCTGTGCCAGTGCCCTCAGACCTGTCCTCTTCGGACACCACAGCTCAGGGTGACGCACAGACAGGGCAGGACCAGTTGAACTGACTTTCCTCTGCCCAGTAAGTCCTGAAAGTCTGAGTGCAGCAGCAGCTGCTGGCTAAGAGCAGTCCCTCCAGTCCAGGGGGCATCCTGCTAAGAGACCAGTGCTGGTGTGAGAAGGCATATAGTGGCTGTGGGAAGAGATTGCTGCACTTCAGGCCTTTTCTGTTGAGTCCTGTACCCCTCTTCTACTACCTGAAAAGTATGATGGGGATTGGTGGTGCTTCAGGGGATTTCTTATCCAATGCAACCTTTTTGTTCCTAGCCCAGCCTGGAATAGTCCAGAGATCAAGTGACAGTGAGCATCCTCATAAGCATCCTGATGGAGAATGCCTTGAATTGGGCCTCCCCACTGGTGAAGCACAATACCTTTGTCCTCCAGGACTGGGAGACCTTCCTTTTGAGACTCCTTCTTCATGTTTGTTGATCCCTGCTGGGCCTGCACAGCAGAATGCACATTAAGGAACCTTTGCCAGGGGCAGGGTACTGCCCTTTGCTGCTGCTATGCAGCCATGACAACTGATGGAAGAAGGTGACTAACACCCACAGCTTGACTGATTCCAGTAGAGCCTGCAGGAAGAGGTAGAAGATGAACTGACACAAGTGGAGCCTCCCTCAGGGTTTGATGTCTTTGTAGACCCATCAGTTTGAATTGATTGTCATCTTCAGGAATGGAAGGAGGGAAAAAATACATTCCCTTACCACACTTGTGGGGCTCCAGGACGCAGACTTGCCAGCTGCCCCAAGAGAGGGGATGAGGAAAATGAGCCACCACGTGCCTGGTAAGCGGGGCTGGCTTGTGGTAACTACAGATTCCCCTCACTCCCTCCGCAGTGGAAACCCACAGAAACCTGACCCTCAGAGCCTTCAGTCACAGCCATTTATCCATCTCCAGGTCCTGGGTCAAATCTCGCTTCCAGTTCTGCCCGCTGCCCCAGAATCCAGTAAGGCAGTTACTTTAATCAACAAGGCTTGTTGACCGAGGCCTTTTAAAATCCAATTACAGTGGTGGTCCAAGCTAGGGACCATTGAGACCATAGACAGCTCCCTTCTGTCTGGCCCTGTGGAGTGGGAGGCCACCGCTCTGGAGGTGAATGCCCATGGGCACTGCAAAACCTTGTGTTGGGAAAGTCTATTTCATTCATTACCCCTTGATTCTGGGATTTCCCTGCCTCGCCTGCCATGACCCCCAGGTCAGGTAGAAAGCCCAGAAAGCTCACTCTTGTTCCAGCTGCTGTTGCAGCATTGCTGGACACCTGGGATGTTTGCCTGACCTACGATTCAAGCAGGGGTATTGACCACTGCCAACCCCTGTGGGGCTCAGCCTTTTGAGACCATATCCAGCCTGCCCCCCAAAATACCAGGATTATGCTGACATATTTGAGAGAGAGAATGCAGTTCTTCCCTTCCCCTCCCTCACCAGAATTACAGTTTCCCCATCAACCTACTGCCTGGGGCCAAGAACCTGGCGGGGTGCATCTGTGCCATGTCAGAGCCCTAACTTGCTACCCTCTGAGCAAGCTAGCAGGAAAACCTGTCCTGGAGGTTCATAAGGAAGTCTGTCTCTCCAGTTGGGACTCCTGTCCTAGTCATCAAAAAACAGGAAAGGGGGTTTGCCTTTGTGTGAACTATTGGACCCTGAACCAAGTCACCATCTGCAGTCAGTATCCCCTACCTCTTGTCTCAGAATTGCTCCATTGATTTAAAACCACCTGCATATTCATCAAACTTGACTTTCAGGGAGCATGTAACCCGATGTGAATCAGGGCCAGTGATGAATGGAAAATTGTCTTCTGACTTCAATACAGGCACTTTGAGTTAGTTAGTTGTGCCCTTTGGGCTCATCAATGCCTCATCTACTTTCCAGTGCTTCATTTAACCATGTGCTGTGGGACCTCTTGGACTAATTTGTCATCACTAACCTGGACAACATTCTAACTTTCTCAGAAGATGCTGACCAACACCCATCACATGTCCAGGAAGTGCTGAAGGGGCTGTGCCACCATGGCCTTTTTGCAGAGTTGGAGAAGTTTGCCTTCAACCAAACCTTCACCAAGTTCTTTGGCTTTATTTTATCCCCAAGGGCTTAAAAATGGACCCACAGAAAGTTCAGGCCACCCAAGGGTGGGAAGCATTCTGGAAGGTCAGACTAGATGATTGGGGGTCAGACTAGATGATCTATTTAGGTCCCTTCTGACCCCTAACTAACTACTACGAAAGGTCAAGGAACTTCAGAGATTCTTGGGGTTTTCCAACTTCTACCAGCAGTTCATCACCAACTTTGTCAGATGATGGCCTCTCTCATCACACTGCTACATAAAAATACCTAGTTTCAGTGGTCTCTGGAATCTCAACAGGGCTTCAAGTACGAGAAGCAGGCATTTACATCCACCCTGTGTTAGTCCTTTGAGATCCAGCCTTGCCCTTTGCGATGGAAACATGCCCCCAGTACTGCAGTGTAAGCATAATCCTCTCACTCTCCACTCTGTCAGCAGAATGGCTGGCCTAGCTGTAGTCTGCTGACTCTTCATTTTCCCCGTATAAAGGCTCAACCTGACCCAGGACTATTTTGCCATTCCTTCTGGCCTGCTCCACAACTCTGCTCTCTGCTTGGTTTCCTGGCTTCTTGACTTGGCATGCTTCTTGACTCCTCTGTAATGCTGTATCTCCCAGCATCTTGACACCTTGATTTCCAAATAGCCTCAGACCTGGCCAGCCATACCCCAGCATGACACTTTGCTGATTTAACCAAAATATCAGCAATGGGTAATAGTCCACTTTCTGCAAATCTCTAAAATTTCAGCTGTTTAAATTCTTGAACATCAGGGGAATAAATAGGCAGACCCAAGACTACTTGTAATTTAGCAAAGTCTTGGTCAGTAGAATTTTAGCTTAATAGAACAGAGGCACAGTAAATACTTAAAGGACATCTGTTTCTAATGCATTTGATTCTGAAAATATCAAGTTGATCCAGTTTGAGTGCTGTCTTAGCTTGGAGAATGTAGTCAATATGGGGGCAAACTCTGCCTCCAGTTATTGTACTGCTATGAGGTTGGTGAGGCTATATAAGCATGACTTGTGGCTTGCATTCTGTTTACCAGTGTTCACTTTTCTCTTTGTTTTATCTGTCCATGGTGCAGCAAGGCTTAATGTACTTGGAGTTCCTTGCTTGGAAGACCCAAACAAATGCAAAATAATCACGTTTTACACAAGCAAGCACTGCAGCGCTGGGCACTTTGAAAAGCACCCAGCACTGTGATGCATACAGTTGTATAAACAGCAAAATGCATGTCAGTGGGAAGAGAATGGTGGCAGTGTGCTTTTGAACTAAAACCCCTCAGAGGTGCTTTAGTTCAAAAGCTCACTGGTGCCATTTTCTGTGCGCTGATACTCATTTCACTACTCGTACAAGTGTGTGCAGTGCAGCTCAGTGTGCGTCAACTCACATGTGGAGCAGGCTCGATTAATTGAGTTTGCTCTGAAGTGGTGGATCTCCGGCATGTTGGAGGACAAAAAGGTACGTGTATAAATGCCCAATGGTTTCAACACTGTTGCTTCAGTGGCACTCCCACTAGAGATGTGTTTTTGCTAATTGGTAAAGAAGAAACCATTGCAGTTTTAAGAGTCTCCCATCTGTTAGCTCAGTAAGTCTTTGCTTTATGTAGCAGGTCCTTAGACAGCCCCTCTGCTGAGGGGGTGTTTCTGGAACACATCATAGGCTTCTGCTATGCTGAAGATAGCAGTGTGCTTAACAGTGGCTAACTGTAGCACGTGCAGCAAGGCTAGTTTCTGGAAATTCAGTGACATTGGCTTTGGTGTGCACTGATTATTCATTTCCTTTCTAACTCACAGGTGGGAGTGATGTCTTTAATCCCTCCACTTTAGGAGAAAAAGAGAAAAAGAAATCCCCTGGGCAAAGCACAGAAAAAGCCCCCAAACAGCTTGGGAAAGTCGGTCTGTTTGATGATGATGATGACTTCTTTGTGGAATCAACAGAGAAACCTTCAAGTTCAGGTGAAAGGTCTTCAGAAAACTATAAAAAGTCATAGATAGAAGCTGGGGCTTGTAGAGACGTATGGATCCCTAAATCCATCCCCTGCAGCCAATGCTATTTCATCCTATTCTGTTTTGTTATTATATAATCCCTGTGTGCATTACTGCCAGTAGTGTCTTCATGATTTTTGGCAGCTCTTCTGCTGGCAGCTTGCTCTTCCTGTTTTGTCTCTCTTCTGGCAGACATTTTAGTTTAAAGCAACATTTGTCCTTGACCCAAGTGGTGTGGGTCTAGATGGACGTGTCTGTTCACTGGAGCATGGGAGGGAAGTTGCCAATAAACAGGCTATCCACATAACACTTCACCTCCTGAGGTAGACCAGTGTCTTCCCCCCAGCTTCTGCTATCCATTGCTGTCATTTTCCTCACTGGAAGGATCCATGCTGCCTCTAATTTCAGTCTCTCTCTTGATTAATAACACTTGGTGACTTCTAGCCAAAAAAGTAATTCCTGAGCTTGACTATATTATTACTTTCTTTCCCTGACAAAGTCAAAGTTGCTGTTGATCTCTTTGACGATGAAGGAGATTTATTCAAAGAAAAATCTGGAGTTGTTCCTGCATCTGTCAGTGCACCTAAAGAAGCTGAAAGCCATAAAGAGACTGTTGTGGAGAAAAAGGTAACTGGGTAGAAATGAATTTTTCCATTGCTATCAAAAAGCTAATTGTTGAGGAATAATTATCACTTTGGCTCCAACAATGGAAGGAGTTTGCCTCCCAGAACAGCATAGAAATGCTTTGTTTCTGTGCATTCAATACGTGTCCAAAACGCATGCAGTGCTACCCCCTCATAGAATCACAGGGTTGGAAAGGACTTCAAGGGTCATGTAGTCCAACCCCCTGCATAAATACAAGGTGCTTTATTTCTCATGTCTTCAGCTTTTTGAAGGGACTGGTTTTATGCTCTCAATCCCTTAGCATTTTCCATATGCAGAGAGAGGTGTTTGGACACTTAGAGACATTCCAAGCTATAATAGTTATGCAGCTGGTACATAGTGCTGCCATGGTGACAGCTGTGTATGTGTTCTGTTAATGCAGTAAAAGCTGTTCAGCATAAACTGCACTCTTCCGATCACCAAGTTAGACTATGCTCACCAGGGGTTAGTTCATGCAAGTTGCCTCTTAAATGGGCAGATTTTCCTCTATTGGTCAGTTGTCCAGGCCCTGCTGCAGAATCCTACATGTGACTCCTACTGAAATGGATGGTGGTTAGATACAAAAAGATGACAACCTGCATTTGAAATAGTTTTTACCTTTTCCTCATGGCTGCAGTGAGTTTTGGAATCTCTTGCAGCTGGGTCACTAGTTTCATATATTTTTATCCAAAGCTTTTCAACAGTTGGGTAATTTTTGAGGTGTGGTAGCAGCTTGTCTTCTAAAAAGGAACCTGAGATGCTCTGTTCGTGCTTGGTTTTTTTGTGGGTTTTTTTTTTAATGAATGCTAATATGTGGGTGGTTTTCTGTTTTGAAGAGTCAACCAACTCCCACAGAAGTGCTCAAGCCTTCAGTTGAAACACCATCCAAAAAACAGAGAGGCTTATTTTCAGATGAAGAAGATTCTGAAGTGAGTACCCTGTTTATATGGAACGCTGTATGGAATGCTGTGGGGCCACAGCTTATAAGCAATGACTCACTAAGTCTTTAAAGTAAAGCAAGAATTAGAGAACTTGGCATGCATTTCTACTGCCATGTTCTCTAACACTTCTTTCTCTTTAAAGACTTCTCAAGTCATTGCTTATAAGCAAGGTGTGGGAGGTCTGACGTGGACTTTCACCTTCCATAAACTTTCTTTGAGCAAGAGCAGATTTCCCTAAATTTTAAAAATTCTCTTTTTTGTTTCTGATGTATATGTAAAAAAAGAATGAGAATTTAGAGAGAGAGAAACAGTAAATGAGGAGTCTCGTAACTTCTGTTTTGTGGGTAGATGGAACAAGCCGTCTCTGGTTCAGTAATACCAAAGTCCTTGTTTAAAGGAAAAGAAAGGTTAAGAAAATTTTTTCCAGTTATTTGAGTTAGTGTAATAAGACATCAGATTCACCCAAAGAACCTTGACTTGCTTAAAGGAAGAAACATGAATATTTCATTCACTTGATTAAAAACAATTCAGCCAGTTTGTTCTCTTATCATTTCATTTTGACAAGTTACTGCTTTTGGCTTTGGCAGGACTTGTTTTCATCTAGTCAAATGGTGAAATCTCTACCCACTAGCAAATCAACAGCAAAAGCGCCGCTCTCTTTCTTTGATGACGAGGATGAGGAGGTAAGTGGTATTTCTCAGCACCTCCTGGGTATTTAATACTTTTCATTTAACTCATTTGCTAGGTTTTTATAAATGGCCACTGTTTACTTACTAGGATTTATTACTATATCATGGCTGCAGGACATCCCCATCCTGTAACGGAAAGCATGGTGTCTAGGTGACAAGGGGATAGCTTTTATTTTTTTATTGTAGAACTGTGCACTTCTGTCTAGAGTTCTGCGTTCCTGGAGCTAAAGCAAAGGCAGCTTTTCATTCCTTTACAGATAGGGAAACTGAAATATAAAAGTGAAATAATTTGCAATAGCACCAGGTTGTCATTTTTGAAAGGCACATTTTGCCTGTTATAAGTAGTTGCTAATTGGTTCATGTTGTTCATATTTCTGCATATACTATATTTGTGCCCCAAACTTTTCATTAGAATTGGAACTGTACTAGCCCAGGGAAACATAATGCTGTACTCCAGCGTAATAGCCATCTATCTTTGGACCCCTAACATGGTTAGCTGCTCTACCACACGGTTGTACTGTGTGCTGAGGCAAAACTGAGGTAGGCAGAAGGCTGTAGTAGGTTTAGTATTATGCAAATTTTGGAACAAAGAGCCTTTAAGTGGAAGGAGGCTGCTTTTGGACCACATCTGTTCCAGCTGGACTGTTAGCAGAAGCTTCTCATTGCATAGTAAGCCGTAAGAAAATGTACTGGTTAGCTTGGGTTTTTGCAAAAAAGTGCTATCCAGAGATCAGAGTTCAAGTGGAAAAACTACTTTTAATCATAGGCAAAGTCTTACCTGTGATGAGTTTACCAGGTATTGTTACAGTAAAGCTCGCTAATACAGATCAAGATCCTTGTCTCTTGCTTAGGAACAGCAGTGCCTCATGCTTTTGCTTGCCCTTCCCTATTGGATTGAGTTCCTTCTCCATATCTGTCATACCAGTGCTGATGCCTATGTGCATGTGTCTGTGTCTGCTCCTTATCCACTGCACAGCAGTTTTGTGATTGCTGGTAAATCTTATATTGCTAGCAATGGTACCTCTGTCCCTATAACAGAGAAGGCCGGGCTTAGTTGAGAAGTTTTCAGTTTATCAAACAATTATTTGTGGATGGCATGCCTGAAAACCATTTGCTCCCTGATATTTGATAGAAGCATAATTTCCATAATCGGCTCAGCATAGTTTCTGAGAAACAAATAGTAATGAGCTCTCCCATGCCAAAAACAAGTTACTTTTTTTGTTTTAATTCTTTTAAGGATCTTTTTAGTATTTCTGGCAAGAAGCAACAGTTGAAAGCACCCCAGGAAAAAGCAAAACAATCAGAGCCCCTCAAGAAAGCATCCAGTTCGTTGTTCAGCAGTGATGAAGAGGTACTGTAGAGCAGGATGCATTTCAAAGGGTGTTGCTGGTTTGTAGACCTCTGAAAGGTGAAATGTAAAATTATGGACCACGTAAGTGTTCCTGTAACTTCAGCATGGGTTGTTAAATGTTTCTTTTCTATGTGCAACACCCCTTCCAACTGTTGTAATGCCTTCTTACAACTTGAAGGGCTACACTTGATTTTGGGCTCAGATTCACCATGCTAGCAAGATACTCTGTGGTGGGAAAAACTTGTAGAAGAAAAGATATTTAGGGAGATGTTGAATAGGAAGTTGAGTGGCAGATTTGTCAAAAAGGCCATTTTGACTTAGAGATGTCAGGGGGAGGAAAAACGAAGGTATAGACTAGTGGCTCTCAACCTTTTGCAGAGTCCGGGCATCCCTTCAAAACTTATTGGAATGTGCCAGTCTGCCCAGCTGAGAACTATGGTTGCATGCAACTTATCTTTATTGGTTCTCAACTGGGTGCATGTGTCTGCTACACAATCAGACCAGGAAGGGCCACAGGACACACATGGCAGTTCTTCATTAGGGTTTTCTCATGTAAGGAAGGACTCAGTTTTGGAGTAACTCATTTCTTTTTTTTGAGAAACTGAAGGATAGGGAGAACAAAATTTGAGTCTGAGAGAGGCTAGTCAGGTGACTCTAATGTGGGGGGTCAAGGAGCGCTCCTGGTCTTTATTTAGAACCAGAGGGCACTGCATCTTTAGAAGACTTTTAGTCGATATCAACTTGAATGTCTGCATACACCCAGACATAAGATCCCCCTAAAAAGTAAATAGCTTGAATGAAAATCATGTTTCTGCTTTAATTTAACCATATTTCACTTTATCTCTTGTCACTGAACTGCTGTCTCTCCAGCTGATAGCTCCTTTCAAGGTAGAGAAGGTAGGCATATTGAATGTAAGAATAAAGCAGGATAAACTTGAAAGCTTCTATTTCTTAGTTGTAAAGAAGAAAATGGGGGTAGGCTAACATTATTTCATAGTTTCATAGTTAGTAGGGTCGGAAGGAACCTGAGCAGATCATCAATTCTGACCCCCTGCCACAGGCAGGAAAGAGTACTGGGGTCAGATGACCCCGGCAAGGTGTTCATCTAGCTTCCTCTTAAAGACCCCCAGTGTAGGAGTGAGAACAACTTCTCTTGGAAGTTGGTTCCAGATCCTAGCTGCCCTGACTATGAAGTAGTGCCTCCTGATATCCAGCCTGAATCTGCTCTGTCAGCTTATGGCTGTTGTTCCTTGTTACTCCCAGTAGTGCTTGGGAGAACAGGGACTCTCCTATTGCCTGCTGGTCTCCCTTGGCCAGTTTATAGATGGCCACAAGATCCCCTCTCGGCTGTCTCTTGTGGAGGCTGAACAGGTGCAGGTCCTGTAGCCTATCCTCATAGGACCTGCCCTGCTGCCCCCTCATCATGCGAGTGGCCCTCCTCTGGACCCTCTAACATTCCTAACATTAGAAATAAAAGGACTTGTAAACATGAAGAGAGTCAATCCAAGAAATGTATTGCAGTCTACATTAATGCAATCGTTGACTTAATTTTGTCCTGAAAAGTCCAAGAGATGTATTTGAACTGACAAATCAGTCTTTCAGAAAAGTGTCTCCAGACAGCCAGTCGTAATAGTAAAGGTGCGGGCTTTGTTTTTAGTATGCCAACTAAGGTAATGAAAGTGTAAGAATAGCTGAAATGACCTATAACAAATGGGAACTGTTCTTTTAATAAGCCTTTTTTTTTAGGACCACTGGAACCTCACCCAGCAGGATAAATCAGTTTCTGAAGACCAAAAAAGGAAATCTACAAAATCTAGCAGTACAGTTGATCAAGCTAAAGCAGCAAAAAATACAAGTCTGTTTGCAGAGGATGAGGAGGAAGATTTATTCACGATCACTAAAGACAGGTAAAAATGCTTCTCCACAGAGAAGCATGTTTCTTTTACAGTCTTTGAAATAGAGCTTACCTGTTTTAGTTGTTTCCCAGAGGTCTTAAAAGATTCCCTTCCTGAAGGTTTAAAAGGCCTCAGGTTTCTCAAGAGACTGGGCTCCTATCTTTTGAGCTCAGTTTGTTCTCTGTTGCTTGTGTCTGTTATGCAGGTATTATTAGGCTACTGAAGGATGCACTGACTGCCTGGTTTCATCATTGAGTTTAGGCCTTCACTTCTTGTGCCCTAGCAATACTGCAACAGTTGCGATTTACAGCAGTTGGAGAATGCTCCTTAAAGGAAAAGGACTGCTAACTGGCTGAGCATTCTCAGCGAAGTGCTCTTGACTCTCCTTAAACCAGACTAGCCCAAATGTTTTTGGTCTGTAGGATGCGTTGCAAAGTTTTCATGTTTTCTGAAGTTTGATGAAGTGGTAGGGTTGGTAGAATGGGGAGAGCAGGTGACTGATTTGCTCCGTTGACCTCCATCCAAATAAAATCAATATTTTAAAATGCATGTGAATTAATTATTGTGTAAATAGTTTCTGAAATGGAAGTGCAGCCTTGGCTTTGCTGCTGTTCCATGAGTTTGGTGAATTTTCTAGCTTCCTACCACTCACTTAGACACTTTCATATTAAAACAAGTATGTCATAGTGTGAAAAATGATATAACAGTGCATTGGGTTTACCGATGAATTATGTATCGTTCTTTGGTTTAAGAAGGCACAGTCATCCAACTGGAACAGAATCAGCGTTTTGTATGGTATCTGAGTAAATTATCCAGTCAGAAATAGCATAGCCAAAATGATAGCATGAACACCTCCATAGTCTGAAATGTCTGGAGGCTGTGCTGCTGATGCTTACAGATGCCTAGCAGTTACAAAATCTGGGGTGAGTTTGTAAATGGGACTAAACTCTCGACTAATTAAACTAGTAATGTCGAGGTGGAGAAAACATTGTGTTAGAATAGATTAAAGGATTTCCTCTTTCTGCAGTACTATACCAAAATCACAGTTCCTAGCTGAATAGGGGATATGGATTAGAAAGCTCTTTAAGTCTGTATGAAATCATTCTTGAAATCTCCTTTTACAGTTTTGGAAAAGTCCCAAAACACTAATAGCCTAGCCCTGTGCTTCCCAGTACAAGTGTAGAGGTGAGGATGTTCTTTGTGGAGGTCAATACACTCCTGTTTCCATCAGTCAAGTAACTATGCCTTTCTACTCTGCTCAGCTTGTATGAGTACACAACTACTGCATGAGAGATGCAACTGAGATTAGTAATAAAAATGTCTTTCCCTGGGAAGCATACTCTCAAGAGTGAATAAGAGTAGATGTAGGATGCCCTGCCAGATGAAGCAGCAGGTCTCAATATCTACAGAATACCTCTTCCTTGCTGTTCTTTGTTGAGACCTTGATTTTTTTTTTTTCCTTTTATCCTTTTTTTTTTTTATGGATGCCAGTCTGATTCTGTGTTGTAGCATTTTGTCATTTTAAGCATGTCTAAGGATGTGTTTTTTGGTTTGTGTGTTCTCTCTGGTTTCAGTCGGAGAAAACCCCAGAAGGCTTCTCTTTTGTTTGAAGATGATGCAGTCGATGGAGAATCCCTCTTCAGCTCCCAACCACCATTTCTTCCTTCAGCTACAAAAGCCACAGTGGTACTTTTCTTTCTAATTTACTGACTGGCATCACTTGAACTTGCTAACTGCTGGTTCCACATTTTTAAACTATAGTAGTTTCAGCAGACTTTCAGTAGGCCTAGAGCTGAATTTTAGATTTAAATTATTTGCCAGCATCAACTTACTAAATTCTGAAATGGAGTCTGAATGCTGCCCTTCCACAGCCTGCTCCTGATCAGGCTGTGCTGTGAGTATTGCTGAAAAGGTTTTTAGATGCCATTCTTGGGAGGAAATCCTGGTTACCCCTGTAGTAGTCAGTGATACAGCTTTTATTTGTTTCAGCAGTTTCAGCAGAACCGGAACTTTGGGTCAAAGAAACCCAGAGACACTACCTTGCAGGTAGAGGCCTGTTTTATGTATATTCCTATTTTCAGTGCCTCATGGTGGTAGTTGTGTGTTTATTCCACAGGACAAAGGAAAAACTGCACAGCCATCACCTTTGTTATTTAATGAAGAGGAGGAAAAGGCTGATCTGCCAGAGGTGTTAAAGACTAAACTGCCAGAAGAGAAGTTGGAGCATTTAGAAGAGCCTCTAGCACTTCCTGAGGGCACTGGAACAGATACTGCTGGGCAGCAGGAAAAACAAAAGGTAAGAAATAAGATTATCTTAATGGAATTTTGGCAAATCTTTGTTTAAAAATACCTGAATTATGACAATTGTGTTAGATTTCTTCCCTGAATTGTTTTATTCCTAACAATGAGAGCCCCTGTTTAAAAAAATCAAGGATACAGCCTCACTTGTTACCACTCAGGTGGCAAACTGAATGACTATTAATGTTTCATAGTTACCTCAAGTGGAATGCTTCAGTATGTAAAAGCTTCAGCCATATGGACTGTCTTTCCTTAAGCATGTGAGCTGAACAGACTGTACAGATATGGCCACCCACAAACTGTACATCAAACCCAGTGATGGTACCTCTACTGTTGAAACTATCCTAGGGATATATCGTGTTAGAGTGCACTGGGATCATGATTCTATTAAAACCATGAGTTTCTGCTTTTGGAAGCAGCATTTGCACAGTGCAATCAGAAAAGTGTCAGCCAAGCATGGATCAGCTTCCAACTGCAGCAGTTGCTGTATGAGTGAGATTTCCTGGGCAGTGACCACCTGGAGTTCTTAATGCTGCTCCTAAATGTTTGTGTTTCTAGAAGACCTCATTGAGCACCTCTTTGATTTTGGTGCTTTTTACATCAAAGAATCCTAGGCTGTTTAAACTAAAATGTACATTGTGCCACTGAAATATAATTGTCTTTGGAATTGAACAGTAGTGCAAATATGGAGAAAAATCACAATGTACAGCAGTGTTAAACTTCAGGGCTACTTTGCATAAGGGCACTGAAGAAAACTTGTCTGGTATGTGACCTATTCCTTATGAAATCCCTTCATGCAGTGGTCTGCATGGCATTTCTTTATCTGTACCAGAAGAATGAATTGCATTTCGCTGTTTGCTCTGGTTCTGGCTCTCAAAATTCTGGACATTGCAAGTATCCAAACCAAGGAGGTCTAACAGTTTCAGGTAAAATTGAACCAGTATCTACCTCTGTTCTGCCTTTCTGCAGTTGGAGCCTGCATCGCCTTTGGGGTCAGTCAGTAATACCGATCTGCTTAGCGCATCACCACCCCCATTGGAGAAGGAAACCAAGAGTCGGGGAAAGAAAGCCCTGAGCTTGTTTGAGGATGAGGAAGAGGAGAAAATGGAAGATGAAGATTTCAGTAAAAATGCACAGACTGAAGTAGAAAAGGTGAGTAATTGACTCCTTTGACCCCCCCACCCCCCGATAGAAGAAGTCTCTCTCCAAACCCTGCCACTGGAGACTTACTTCCCCTTAAAACAAGGGTGGGCAAAATGGTGGATCTGGCCAGCTGCCAGACTCCATTTCCCAGGAGCCCCTCCCCCAACATGCTGCTGCAGCAGTTTTTACCATGGAGACCCTGGCAGTGTGAGGACACGGGGCCAGGGTTTCCATGGAGGCTGCCCCCAGCAGTGCTGGCAGAGTGCATGGGTGGGTGGGGAGCTGCTCCACAGCTGCAGCTGGGATCTTGCAGGTGTGATGGCATGGTCTGGAACTGGCACAAAGCTGTAATCTAATGCCTGCATACCCCCCGGGTGTGTGGGCAATGGATTGCAGCTCTGCTTCTGCTCCAGATCACACTGTTACCACTGCAAGATCCCAGCTCTTGCCATGGAGTAGCTCCCTGCCCAGCTGCGTGCCCTGCCAGTGCTGCTGGGGCTGGTCTCCATGGAAACCTTGGCCCCACTCTGTCATGGCACCGCCACTGCTGGGGGAAACTAGCTGCAGCGACAGTGACAGGGGCTGCTGAGAAATGGAGTATGCCTGTGGGCTGGACTTTGCCTGCCCCTGCCTTAGAACCACCTACTATCCAAAACAGTCTTTCTGTGGCTTGAGTTTATAAGCTTTTCAAATGGTACAAGATAACTAGTCTGTTTTCTTTCCTGTGGCATGCTTGCCCTTGCCTTCGCTCTGCCTCTCTTGTAATGTTTTTTTTTTTTTTTAAACTAAATGATTCTGAAGTATGCCTAGGCAGTGTCATGTATTTCAGTTAAAATTTAATACAGTTTTGTATGGTTGTGATTGGCTTGGCTCACAGGAAAGGAGATGGGTTCCTGACATGGTTTTGAGATTACTATGCTTGGAGGTGCTGAGAAAATAAAGTTGTTTCTGAAACCTCTCCTAGCTGATCCAACTCCATGCCACCTGCTGGGGCAAGGGATCTACCAAGAGGAGTCCCTTTTCATGAAAGAAGAGATTATATAGGAGAAGGTCTGACCTAAGACACACAATCCTACAGTCTTAGGGTTAAGAGGGATGTTTAGGAGCCATCTAGTCCAACGTCCTGCACAGATGCAGGATACATTCTTAGGTATCTCAGATAAATGCTTATCCAGGTTTCTTCAAATCCTCCAGTGAAGATTCCACTGCTTCCTTAGGTAGCTCATTCCCTTTTCCTACTGTTCTGACAGGGAATTTTTCCTGAGATTTAATTTCCTGTGCTGTAACTTTAAATGCATTCTTCATGTCCTGCTCTCTCTTCCTCCTCTTTTATGCAACTTTTCTAATATTTGATAACAGCTATCACATTCACCCCTTTTCTCCTTCACTCTTTTTCTCCAGCCTAAGCACACCTAGTTGTATGTGTTTTGGCAGCATCTCCCCCATCACATTCCTATACTTCTATACTGTGGCCCGAGTCACCTTGTGCAGCTGCTGGTGAGGCTTGACCAAGAACAAAGTGTGACTCTCCCTTGTGCTTCCCCAGCCCCTCCTGGCTCTGCTGTCCCAGGGGCAGTGTCTTATTGTGCCACACTTATCCTTGTTACCTGGGAGAGGGAGGGACGGGCTTAGCACTGCTGTCCATGCTCAGCACACCGTGGCATTCCCCGCCCCCCCCCCCCCCCCTTTTTTTTCCCCATTTGCTTTTAT